GTGACCCCAATTATCGTCTTCCGATTCCCGACACAAAGTAGCAGTTATTTGAATTACCGAGTATACTCTTTCCTTACCTTCCTCTACATTAAGAGGGCTGTTGGGTTAGCTTAGAGTTCGTTGTACACACATGGTTGGATTCTCCACGTGGTTGCAACGTGTGATGTCTATTTCTGGTGTCTTCAGCCGTGGTATTGCTGGAAAGCGGCGTAAAACCATACTCACTCACATAAGAATGTGTATTTTAGTGCACATGAACATTGTTCCACTATTCCCACATAGAGCAAGATCAGTGTCTATTTGGGTGAGACGGCTTATTCTCAAATATATTCCCCGCTCAAGGTAGCGTTAATGCTACTGATGCATATTGTCCAGTAACGTTCTAATCAAACTACAGGGTATATCCTTATACGGTGTTATGTTGTGCTATACTGCTCTGGTCAAACTAGCGTTTATTGGAATGGGGTGGCATGTTGGCCAGTAATGCTCTGGTCAAAGAAGCGTTTATTCCAATGCCACCATATGTTGCCCAATACTGCTCTGGTCAAAGTAGCTTTTATTGGAATGAGGTGTTATTGTCCAGGAATGTTCTGATCAAAGTAATGTTATTTCGAAATAGGCGTTTAGTTGTCCAGTAATACTCTGGGCAAAGTAGCGTTAATTCGAAATAGGCGGTGTGTTCTTGTATAATCCTCTAATCTAAGACAATCCTTATTTATGTCCGGCGTCACAATGTCCAACACAAATCCCTGGTCTATGAATTATCCAGGCGCACAATGGAGTATTCGAGGAAAGACACATGTTGTGCAATTACCGAATGATTGTTCACTGCAGTTGTGCAAGATCGATGTAATGCTATTTAACAGGAAGATAAATCCTTGGACTTTGTCAACAACATGCAGTTCTCGGGCACAGGGTTGCACTCGTCAGCAGTCGGAAGCATTCGGCAGCGCTCGGCATATTCCGATACCTTCACTCCTCAAGGATACCCCCGATGCCGTAAGTCGACTATTCGACAAGGAGGGGTTGTGTTAGTCCAATTGTAATGTGGATCTCAGCAGGTTCTTGGTTATTACAAGTAACTGAATACATTATCATTTTAAAACACAGATATTTTAATAATGATAATGATAACATCATGAAATTGATGACGGTTATGACGATGGAAACAATAAACATGTTGATGATACCTGAAACCATAGAATAATACTCTACCTTTTGATAGTCTCTGGAAATACTGCCATTTCATAATTACAATTTGGAAACACGCAAGGATCGTAGTGACATAGCTTCAGTCTTAAAAAATCGATGTTTACGAGGTAATTCCTCTAAATAAAATAGAGACTGAGTAGAAATATAGAATGTGAGAGAACTGTTCGTCTTATTATATGCTTCCCTACATTATAACCCATATATCGGAAGAACCCTCCATAAATTTGGGAAGGTTAGTCAGTATGTTACTCAGCAAGACTGAAACGTGGGTTATAAAGTAGCTCTTGAGTGAGTGAGGTTTTCTTACAAAGCTTTTAGCAATATTCCAGCAACATCACGGGAAACCAGATATAGGCTTCACCTATTGCACCCATGTAAGGAATCGAACCCGGGTTTTCCGCGTGACGAGCGAACACTTAAACGGTCTATTTCCAAAATACCTCTCGGATCTTCTGACACCATATCACCCAATTAGATCACTCCGCTCAAGAGACCAGTCTCTCCTTGAAATACCACAAACTAGAACCAAGTCATATGGAGACAGGTCATTCTCTAGAGCAGGACCCTTCCTCTGGAACAATTTACCAGCCGTCCTTCGTTCCGAAAGAATGGTCGATTAATCTTTGAGGACCATTATTTCTATGCATCTAACTGATATTTGCTTATCGTTCAGTTGTGATTTACTTGATTTCGTTCATTATATTGTTTGAACAACTGATAAGGCGTCTGGAACGCTCTGGGCGTCTATGGGATGTTGGCATGCTAATAGCAAGTAGAAGTCAGCGTGTAGTGGTCAGTACTGTCAACGTTTCACAGTCTGCGATTAGCACACTTTGGAACAGGTATCAATAAACCCAAAATGTTGACAAAAGATCCCGGACAGGGAGTTCCATACCAACGACAAGAGTACAATTATAGACTTATCCGAAACCAGGCTTCACGAAATCAAGCTCAAACGACGAATCTCCGTGCACAAATCGCCAATGCTCACGTCCAGTATAAAAAAATATATAATGCAATGGGCCCAGGCCGTTTCACCGTTGAAAAAGATTGCGACATGATGGGACACGGCCACGTTGGGAGAGCTTGGGCAGGCGTTGCTAGAGGAGTGGGGCACAGTCTCTCACATCGTCTTTTGGACACTCATACGTATTATGCCTCGTCGACTGAATTCAAGCACTTCTGATCCATAATCGTCATAGTTTACATTACCCATCATACCCCAGTGGGATTCTGATCCATTATCGTCATATTTTACATTACCCATCATACCCCAGTGGGATTCTGATCCATAATCGTCATATTTTACATTACCCATCATACCCCAGTGGCCTTCACGATCGTTGACGGGGATATATTGGGACCGCTATTAACTGAACACCAGTATTGTCAGGGTGCCTCCTTTCTCTCTCATCAATCCAGCCACCACTCCACCACCCTTCCCCCGCCACCCCCCAACACACACACAAATAAATATCTGTGAACGATGACGTCTTAACGTGGCGCCAGTATCCGCTGACTGAAGGTTTTAAAGCCAGGTTTTAATCGCTGGACTATCAGCTCGAATCAATCTCATGTTCAGTCTCCCATATCACATTGACACCCCGCGTTATAAATGAAATATCCAGACACTTGAACTCAACCTAGATGTGTATATCATGTGAGGCAATGTTTTTAGTGAATGTATCGGGACACTGTAGTAACATTGTTGAATGTATATTTTGCGAACAATATGTTTAATTGAACTGACGGTGTTTAATTAAGTTACATCGTTTAACGAATACATAGGGACCAATATTGGGTATATCAATGACTGAAGTTCAGGTTGATGATAGTTCACAAATCCAGTAGTTCCTGTTCATTTTGGAAGCAAAGTGTTTGCCATATTGTTATAACGGGATTATTTCTGTGCCTGTCCGGTAAAGATTCCATTTAAATAAATGGAATGTACCTGTTCATTTGTATTCAACATCCAAGAGAGCTTGTATGTCTTCTTTCTCCCTAATGACTTTAAGTTGTTTATTTAACCTAGTGAAACGCTCGGAGGTAATGAAACATAAATTCTATTCGGGCAAGTTGTAAAGGAGTTACTTGATGCGTATTGCACCTGTTGTGATCTTTTATACGGTAGGAGCACATATATCCACCAGCAGGTCACGACAAGGATTGGCTTCTGTTTCCAACTGTGGTGCAACAATGTCACGCCCTTATTTAGAAGTAGCTCTCAGCATGAATACAACAAGAGATACACACATCGTACTGATGTCTGTCATTCATACCCGAAACAAATATAATCCGAAAAGCCCAAGCAAGTATATAATATTTAGCATGTCGGGATTAATACATGTAGTTGCAAAATGACGAAAGTCTCTTGGCTTTCGAGTGTTATGTTAAATTCAAATAATTTAGAACTGTTGGGTTTTTTTTGTCTGTAAAATATGTTCATTTCAGAGACTAGTTGTTAGTCTAGTTGTTAGTTGATCGTACGTCGTGGTTGTATTATAACTGTGAATGCAATTGTATTTAGACTGTACTTGTATTTGTAAATATGTTTCTTCAGTTTTAAGAGACCATTCGACCATAGTTTTCTGGCAGCGAATTGTGGTGCCTCAGACGAAGGCGCCACCGTATACACCTCGTGGGCATTTCAGTGAGTGAGTGAGTGAGTTGGGTTTACGCCGCTTTTAGCAATATTCCAGCAATATCACGGCAGGGACATTCACACATTGTACCCTTGTAGGGAATCGAACCCTACGAGCCAACGCTTAACCACTAGACTACCCCACCTCAATCTCAATATATACTCATGCCAATAATGGTTGTCACCCCCTTCAACTTTTTTAATTGGAGAGGGGGTGTGAGGTGTGTGTGGGGTTGGGGTGGGGTGTGACAACCATTATTGGCATGAGTATATTATGTCAATATACGATATATAACAACATGTCGCGGTTTACCACAGCGATGTTGTAACTAGAATAGCCAGGATACGAGCAGTGTAACATTTTCTCCCCGAAACGGTTGAGCATCTATTTAGTATACACCTTAAATGTTCATATCTGGTCGTGGAGTTGACAAATAAAGAATTTGGTTTTTGGGTAAAAAATACCAACTAATAAGATCAAGACGACAAGTAGTTATTTTATTCCATTTTAACCCTACCATCATGAGCACGAATGAACTACATTTAGTTTAATTGGCATTTTAGAAGATGATATTTTGATGAACATAAAAAAATTCTGGGTTTTCATATTCTTTATATTGTTTGGTACAACTGCCTGATGATGGGGTTAGAACAAGCCCTGAAACATTGTACCAAACAATTAAAAGAATATGAAACCTAGAAAATTGTCTATGTACATTTAGTTTAGTTAACGACATGCATTGGTTGTATATATCACAAGTGGAGACAACGTAGTTTGTATGTGAAGGAATTCGAATTTCAGAATGTGATGAAATAGTAATTTGTAAAACAATTCCAAATCCTTATAACTTGCCAATACATTGATTTATGTTTCGGTTTTAGGTTATGATTCAGTGGTATCATAAATCCATACAAAACCATGGCTGAATTTTAACTAACTGTACCATCTGACAGATGTGGCCGTAATTATATTCACTCGTCTGGAAACAATTTGTGTAGGTAACTTATGCAAGAGCCACACGCTGGGCGATATGAGAATATAAGCACTGCGTACCAGCCAATCAACCATGCCGATACAACCAGGCAGTGAAAACGGACCAATCATCACGCACGATAGTGATAAATATTGCAGTGTCATCTGCCTTGGCAATGTTCCGATGTACGGCGCTTCTTTTCTAGTCGGGTGGATGGAGATATCTGGCATAATGTGACGCAGACAGATACAAAGGGTTCGAATGACTCGCGGGTAAGGTTTAAGCTGTTCCGTAGGTTATGAGATATGTATATAGGCCTTCACACATGGACACACACGTGTGCCTCACTGACATTACGAGCGGTGGGGTGAGAGTTATCACTGACTGACTGAGATGGTTGTCTGTGTGATGTGGTCGTGTAATATCACACCTCACTTTATGTACCATGGTATGTATTTCTAATAGAAAGAGTCTGAAAGACGGAGTTTGGCTCTAAGATCGTTATCCGTAACCACAGGTAATTCATCGTGTTGTCAAGCATTACGTAAATTTGGATCCTTCCGACTTTCGTTACCGTGTGTCGGTTCATGACAAGGAATTTATCATGGTGTTATCAAACGATCATGACCAATGGTCCTGTGGCTTGAAATATGTTGTTTAATGTTGCCAGATCGTTAATCAGTAGAACTTTTGTAGTCTTATTTCTAATATTGGTCTTGGTCGTCAACATGGTTACATAAGACACGGACATTGTGGTTTGAGGTTGTTCAGAGAGAAAATAGTTTGATGATGGTTTGCAAAGCAGTATTCCGACAAGCATGACACACGTCTTTGTTCATTGTTTGCTGACTGATGTGGAGTTAGCTTGACTTTTAGGACACATAAGACCAATGAACTTACACTGAAAACACTATATATGCCCACACCATGTAATGCGTGCTGACTTTCTTAATAACTTTCTTGTTTCTAAAGCCTGCATCTTTGAATATTCCCCAAGAATAATATATTTATACCCACTGGGAAGAATGAAATTTCAACTGCAGTATCAACTTTTTCTTGCCAATGTTGTCCCTTCTTTATCTGTCAGATTGAAGGGATTCTAAGGAGTAGTAACCTTAAAGTAGACAACTGACTACAATGAAACAGTTCTCTGTGTATCAAGCAAGACAAGAATTCCTTGCTAAATAATCTAATAACAATTGTAGTAGATGCCTAAAATCTCCAATAGGTGCTCAGTGACATAATAGATTATGTCAGTGTTTGGATATTTACTGATTTTGTGTTCTCCTTTCCTATGCACTATTCATTGCTTTCATGTTCAGTGAAGCCAAGATTGGGTTATCACTTTTAGTTATATACACACAGTGAGAGTGATGAAGTTTAATTATAAATATATTTTAGATAGAAATAAGGGGCTTAACAGGGGTGGAAATAACTTTAAAATTGCTAGTGTACTTCGGTACAGTGGCACATGTAAAATCACTTGCCCTGATCATTTTTCCACTATACCGGCCGTTTTTTTGTTGATTTTGTAAATAAACAACATAATTAACATTGGAATATCAACTGGACACCAGTACAGTGTGATATACAAAGTAGCTTGCCCGACAGAAAAAAACACTGGACTCGGGCGTCGGGCAATGGGTTATTTCCACCCCTGCTTAACCTCCATGAGCTGAATAAAGAATCACTACATACTTTCCACTTTCCTGTCTTTGAAAACCAACTCTTGGGTTTTATATTATACCCAGTGATACCTAATTCTTTTAACTTAACACCTGTAATAAAATATCAGAAATAAGCCTGTTCAATTCTCTCTTGGTTCTAGACTGCCCATGACTATCACTCATTTCACAATTATTCCAGAAAAAAAAACCAATAGAAAACTTAAAATGAAAGGTTTTTGCACAAGTCGACTGAGATGTCCCCCATTTTAGATACAGGATGACTGATGATTCACCACACAAGGTTGTGACACATGGACCGTGTGATTAGGAAAATGAAACAATCTATTACCATATTCCTTATGTCTTGTCTCTCAAACATGACGGACCGCCTCCGTGGTGTAGTGGTTAGAGCGTCCTCCCAGAGAGCGGAACGTCGCGGGTTCGACCCCCGACCGCATCATACCAAAAGACGTTAAGATATGGTACTTGTTGGTCCCTGCCTGGTGCTCGGCATTAATGGGTACAACAAGGATTGGTCGGCTCGGAGTCAGTATAATGTGTCTGAGTGGGGTATTCATGCTTCACTGCGGTATGGTATCTCAGTGGGCTAGCACTATAAAACCAGCTTCAGTCTGGGCTAGTACAAGCAGCCGCACATACACATACACACGCATGCATGTCGTCATATGAGCGAAATATTCTCAAGCACGACGTTAAACCCAATTTCACCTCACCTCACCTCAAATGTGACAGGGTGGTGGGGTAGCCATGGGTTAAAGTGTTCGCTCGTCACGCTGAAGACCTGGGTTCTATTCCGCACATGGGTACGATGTGTGAAGCCCAGTTCTGGTGTCCCCCCGCCGCTTATGCTGGAATGTTGCTAAAATCGGCGTAAAACTAATCTCACGCAAACATGACTGCCTAGTCAAGCTTGCAAGGCGCATGACATCGTCATGTCTACCCAGCCACTATACCTACATGGGCAGAAGCTAGTACAATATGTGACTTCAGATGAAGTTACTACTTCAGCCACAAATCCAAATCCCTCAAGAAAGTAAATTAAAAATTAATGTCACATTTGTATTATTTCTGCCAAAAGGTGACAAGACCAAGCTTACCCCTTAAACTAGCCCTCCCTCTATGTTTCATGTTATATAGGGCCGGAAGGGTAGCCTAGTGGTTAAAGCGTTCGCTCATCACGCCGAAGTCCCGGGTTTGATTTCCCACATGGGTACAATGTGTAAAGCCCATGTCTGGTGTCCCCTGCCGTGATATTACTGGAATATTGCTAAAAGCGGCGTAAAACTAAACTCACTCACTATTATGGCCATGCTGGTGACAAAACATGGATCGTCTTCAGGTTAAATCTGGGATTTGAAATGTGACAAGCTGAATTTTTGCAGCTAAGGGAGAGAACTTTGTCCTGCAAGTTTATCCACTTGCGTCATACATACCTCATTATCTTTATGGTACTGGATGGATAAGTCTATAAATCATGGTTTGGTATGGCCAGTTTACACTCTCAAAACTCCATACAGCTGAAGGGGCCGTGGTGTAGCCTAGTGGTAAAAGCATTTGTGCGTCACGCTGAAGACCTGGGCTCAATTCCCCACATGGCTACAGTGTATGAAGCCCATTCTGGTATCCCCCTGCTATGATATAGCTGGAATATTGCTAAAAGCGACGTAAAACTGAACTCACTCACTTACCCATACAGCTGAAGCTGTTGTGAAAACCAATGTGTGAAATCAAAACTTACAGGGCCATAGGTCATATAAAGGTAAAACCTGATATGCAGGCAAATAATAAAATCAGTTGTCTGAGTGATGTACAAAAAAAATATGTTTGAGATAGTCATGAAGACTCATTGTCTTCCATAATTATGTTAAAAAGCCACCTCTCCATGAATACACTGGATATATATCTAACTGAGCATAAATGTTATGCACTGATCAGGAATTTATTGCGATAGTCACGCGAACTTGTTGCTTTGGCAAAAAAAATGTTTATGATAGACATAAGCCTGATCTTATGTACTAATTTATAATGTGTGACAAATGCTTTGTCAAGCATGTCTAACTTCATACAAACTTGCAACTGAATATTGATTTGGGTTTTGTTTGTCTCCTTAGTCATGAAATTTATTCATTGTAAAGTACGCAGCATGTGACAATATGTTGTGGTGAGTCAGGAGATCGGCATTGTTAGGGTGTTGTACTCATATTGACTGCAAGATGGTCAGTTGACTGACATGACGGTGATGTTTTATTTGTCATCCAGAATCTTTCTTGAATTAGGCTATCAGGATTTGTGACTGATAGTTTGTCATATGTGTACAAGTTTCCCGTCATTAATCTGCTTGGTCCTAACCTGATTGCATACATGCAGCTGTTATACAGCTGCAGAATTGTTGACTCAGTGGCATAAAACATTCACTCCTAGTATCCATATTGTTCCTGCATCTCTCTAAAACCTCAAGCCTGACACTTCATTGTTCCGAGATTTTGTTCTTCTTAGCATTTTTCAAGGCCAATATTCAGTCCCAGGTCTACAGGGGCAGTGGGGTAACCTAGTGGTTGAGGCGTTTGCTCATCACACTAAAGACCTGGGTTCGATTCCCCACATGGGTACAATGTGTGCTGTGCCCTGTCGTGATATTGCTGGCATATTGCTAAAAGCGGCGTAAAACCCAACTCACTCTATCTCTCACCTAGGTCTAAAGTGTAATTTGGTTTGAATTTATTATTTGATAACTTCTTCATGTATTTATATGTCATGTTTTGTTTTTGCAAAGGTTAACTGTTTTTCACTGATAGCATGTAAAACACAGAGTTTATCACATTGAAAGAAGTGTTCTTCCAGATTAGGAAGAAATCAATGTTGTTTTCACACTGCCGATTGCTGCATCATGAACTACTTGAAGTGGCACAGGAGGCTGTGCGGAGTTGCATCCCCTAGACATTCCAGGAGCCTGTGATTGTGAATGAGAAATCCCACTTAACCCTGATTATGTTTGTTGGTGGGTCAGCACAATATTGATGTTTGTGGGTTTAACCCAAATTTCCTGCATCTGTAGCCTGCCTCAAATTCTCCAACATTAAGCTTAAGAGGAGACTAACGGGATCTGGCGGTCAGGCACGCTGGCTTCATTGACACTTGTCATCGGTTCCCAATTGCGCAGATCGATGCTCATGCTGTTGATCACTGGATTGTCTGGTCCACACTCAGTTATTTACAGACCGTCTCCATATAGCTGGAATATTGCTGAATGCGGTGTAAAACTAAACTTACTCACTCACTCCAACATTAAGCTGACACTCTCGCTTTCACACTTAGTTTCATACTCACTCACATTCACTTATTTCCTCCGTCACAGAAACTAGAACAGATCATGTTTGCCAAAGAGATGTTACACCTGAGGTAGTTTTGACCTGTTCTGTGACCTCCTTTAAGCTGTTGAATCATGGACACTTCTTCACTGTGTGGACAGAGCATGCTGAGCCTCTATGACAGGTCTTTCCAGCAGGTTCCCCCTCACTATAACACACACACAGGGACATATTCAACCCAGGTCACCCATTAGGGCCAACCTGTAATAAAGAAGA